TCCACCATGACACCCAGGTCTTTCTCCGCAGAGCTGCTCTCCACAAGGTCGGTCCCCAGCCTGTACTGGTGTCTGGGGTTATTCCTCCCCAGGTGCAGGACCTTGCACTTGGCCTTGTTGGATTTCATAAGGTTTCTCACCGCCCACCACCATCTACGTCCCTCTGGCTTCTGCAGAGCAGACTAGATCATGCTCACCAGGATGACACAGGCTGACCCACAGCATCAGGAAACCTAAGATCAGATCTAGGAACGATCTGCACCACAGTGACTATTATTCTAATACATTTTTTTGAAGTTTTTGTTGTTTTTTTTTCTGCTTATTTGAGGAGGTATGTGATGGCTTCTAGAAAGGATCGGAGCACAATGCCCAGTCTGTGCACGTGCTGATACCCTGGGTCTGTCTCTCTCTGCCGGAAGAGCTCCATAAAACTCAGTGAAGTTAAAGTAGCATAAAACTGATGTAGGTCAGCTTAAGATTCAAGGCCTGTATCTGTGTGTGCATATCTGTTATATAACTGCACACATAGCACATAAAGAGAGGTATTTCCCACCTCACATGTTTAACCACAAAGTATGATACAGCTACCGATGGAGGTGAATGGTATTTAATCACATGTAAATTAATGATTTACATGTTCTTTTATTTTTGGCTCCTTGATGTAAATCCAAACCAGACAAGTGGAATCCTCTGGTCAGACGGCTGGAAATTCCAATGAATGAAATCATGTTGGTGGTCTCCCAGCTCAGAGCCTTCTGAAGAGCAGTACAGTAAAATATCCTTCCGTACCACTAATGAATGCGCCCACCCACACTGGAGCTAGTGCCCCCTAAGAACTCAATTCAAGAACAACTTTTTAAACTCATAAATATAATCAAAGGGCTCATTCTAGGAGCCAAAGAACTCACAATTTTAGGAGTAACTGTTAATAGCTGGTTACTATAGGTTGTCCCCTTCATTCACAGTATATAGGCACGCGAGAAAAAATAACAATCCTAATGCAGACTATGCACACAGTATTCCACTTAATTAAATTTCATGCTTCTTGAATGAACAGATAAATTGTTAATGCCCTTGTTACTGCACAGAGCCTGAGTGATTTGCTCAATATCAACAAGAGGAACTCTGACAAGATCCTGATTTCCTTTCCTGTGTTCTGAACAGGTCTCCTTCTAGATATGTATACAAAAAAATTCATTCAACCAAGGCCTTTCAAATTAATTATGAAAACTTAAGCAATTTAAACCTGAGCAGGAGCACCCAGGCAATCAATTTTTAAGACTACTATCAGTGAATTCTTCAGAGGACTCCTGTTCTTGCGTTAGCCATGAAGGGAATTAACACTCTTCATTTCCAGTGCAGCTGTGCAGCCTAGCGCTAATGGTTGGAGGACTGACTGGTGTAGCTGTGCTCTCTGAGCAAGACAGAGAACTATTCCTGTGATGAGAAGACCACTCCTTAGAGAAGCCTGTCATAAAATTATCGAGTGACATGGGGGGTGGAAGGAATCAAGCCTGTTGTAATTGAACTGACTTGAAATAATAAACGCACACACTTTCTTTAAACACAGCTTGCCACATCCTGAGAATCTGGAATCAATTCCTTCCCTTTCAAGAAGCTTAAAAGTAGTGGGACTTTGATATGGTATGAGTATGCTTGCTTCTGGGCTTACAGCCCTCACTGGCCTGTTCCAAACCTTTCAAAGTTTTTATATTATAAGACAGAAAAGTTAGCAAAACAAAGATGGAAAAAAAGAATCAGAAATTCAGGGAACCATTAAAGAAGGACAGGCGAGATGCCAAATACCTTTGGTGAGTAAATGAATCATGATCAATAGCATATTGCCATACAGACTTGCACAAGAAGGTTATCACCTGCTCCTGTGCCAGGCATAAAACATAATGGCATGTGGCTAATGAAGTACTGCCTGAATCCAGAAAAAAAGAAAGGACTATTTTTCTCTATAAAGCTAGAGCATTTTACTTCTAAGTATTTTAACTCATCCAGGAAAAATATAGATTTTTCCATAAAAAAAGTCAAAATCGATAGGTTACTATGAAACACTTCTCTTTTGACAGTGCTGCTTTTGTAACAGAAAACTGTTTTGATAAAAAGAAACCTTTTTTTGTTAATGGGATGTTTCAGCTTTGATTGTAAAGTATATTACTTTATATATTCACATATTTGCCAGCAGAGGGTATTGCAATCTTAGAAACAAATGTACATGTGTCTCATTGTGTTCATTTTACTTGCAAGAAGTGAGACGGACACCAGATCAAGAAATTATAAATAATGTTTTCTTCAGGAACATTTTTTCCACTTTTGGAAAAAATAATAATAACACCGAGATTCTTTTAAGCTACAGTCTCCATTATCAGTGGCTTCTCACCCCCTCTCTGAGGACATGAAACATTACAAGGAAACAGCCTTCTTAAGATGGTATCACTTGAAGTTTCAAACTGTTGCATGACTAGACATCAGCTCCACTAGGTGAGACACCAGCTTTTTAATTTCTCATTTATTCTAAATTTCTCATTTATTCCAGCATCCTCAAAGAGCATAAATCTCATTAATAATCTCAATCACTTAATCCACTTTTGGAGCAAAATTGAATAGCCACAGGCTATAAGGAGAGCTCATGTTACTTAGACCTCATGATCTCGGCTAAACCAGTATGCTATGAAGAATGGTCGCGTATAGTCCATTCAACCCACTCTTTTATGAGGAAGAACCTCTTTACTGTGAGGGTGACAGAGCACTGGAACAGGTTGCCCAGAGAGGTTGTGGAGTCTCCTTCTCTGGAGATCTTCCACACCCACCTGGATGCCACCCTGTGCCACGTGCTCTAGGTGTTCCTGCTGGAGCAGGGGGGTTGGACTAGATGATCTCTAGAGGTCCCTTCCAACCTCAGCCGTTCTGAGATTCTGTGATCTCACAGCTGCAGATAGGCTGGTGTTATAAATTCATAGCCTGATTTCCTGCACATTAACAAATTTACTCCCTTGACCTTCAAATTAAGGAAATGTAATATAAACAATCTGATGCCTGGTGATTTAGGTGACTTGGGATTCAATGCTGACCTATCCTAAACCAAAAGAAATTAACACAACATTATATTTGATATAACACTCTGAGGTGGCTGCTCTGCTTAGGTGTTTTTAATGAGTGCTTTTCTATTCTGATCATGTACAACTAATGCCCCAGTCACTGATGTGACTTTCCTCGTTATCCTAAGAATTGAGTCAACTGTAGACAGGAGGCAATATATCATGATTTATATATAAACTCACGAGAATTACACATTTTAATTATTCTTCATTTCTAATTTTGGTATTTATGAGCGCTGAGAGCTGCTGTGTATGGGCAATGCAGAACATAGCCATGAGCAACATTCAATTTCTCTAAAATAACCAATGTGAATGTATGCTATTTAACATATCTTATGTCTCGCCTGTGAAAACTAGCAATACAAGGTAAGAGGTACATCAGTTAACAGCTGTAAATATTCTACTAGATATCTCAAGAAATATGACCGTGTTAACCCATTAGCTTTCATGAAGCAATAGTGGATTAAACTAGCAGAAGTTTTACCTCTCTTAGGCATATGTGGAGAAAAGAAAAGAATATAAGAAAAGCAATTTCATTAAGAAGGTAGTATATGACTGCAAACATGCAGATTCTAGAAGTGTTGTTGTTTTGACAAAAAAAAAAAACACAGAAGAAAGTCAGGAGCTTACAGAGTGCAATTACAGTTGTTAAAGCAAAAAGTAATCGCTTATTTCATTTAGCACATTTTTGGGTCTGGTCAACTAGCACTCCTCTAAACAGTTCCTGCCTGGACTGAGTACAGGAGGCAGCTTGGTCAATTACTCATTTCTAGTAGGCAGTTTGAGACCCTGTTTTGGTGAGGATGTTTAGCTGCATGAACAGGAGTCATGTCATGACAGATGGTAAAAGTACTACTGAATAGCCTGTGGGCTGTTTTATTTACTAGTGTAGATGTAGTTAATTAGACTACGGACATGTGAATTAAGCCCACTGAACTCACCATGCCAAGCTGATCAGCAGCAGTGACTGATGTCATTTGAATACAGTTTACAATAAAATGACTGTAGAATGGCAAAATTGTTCAACTTCTAAGCACACAAACACCCTGGCACATTTTGTAATGATCCTACTTACCAGCATTATCCTGCTGCTTGGTATTTTTTATATATGCAGAAAATTTGGAGAAGATATCTATTCCAGCAGTGTTTGATTCCCGGTGCTTGGCAGCCAGCTTGGGATACCTATAAAGAGAGGAAAGTGTAGAAAGTAACATCTTATTTTTACCAGCAGTGTAATGGTGATTACAAATACAATTTACAAGAAGAAAGAAAAAAAAATCCTGCGCAACAAACTGCAACTAACATTGTCATACATCTCAAAAAAACAGCTTGGCAAGACCCTCTTAATAATATCTTTGTCTAGCAAGGAAAGCATTTGGACAGTTACACACTGATGGTTTTATGAAAAAGGTAATTGCACTGGTGCTTTACGTGGCCATGATCCAGGATACAGTGGCCTTAAATCAGAAGGAAACATATATTTCCAATAAAGGTGCAGGGTAGGTTGGCAGCCAACTCTTTCTATTATGAATGGCAGTTGTGCCTAATTCCCTATATCAAAAATGTATTCCAGAATGTAGTAACAGGAGTGTTACTATTACCAGGGTGGTAATACGTTTTAATCTCTGAACTGTTGCTTTTTAAAGACATCTGGTTCAAAGGAATATAAAGATTTGAAAGACCAACACAAACCAATCGCTCCTACTGATTTCAGTGGGTCTTGGATCAGGGTATATCAAACTTAAATATCTGATCTCCTGCCTCAGGACTGGCCAATAGCTGCTGATTCAGTTGGAGGTAAAACACTGTACGGCACCTAGGCAGTTTTCATTGATTCACAAATTTTTAAGGTCCAAAACACAAGTCATTTTTTTCCCCTCCTCCTTCTACAATGTCCAAAATCTTTGACTAACTTAGGTATATTTGGTGAATTTGACACTTTCCCTGGTACTTTGTTCCAATGGCTAATCATCATATTGAAAAATCTGTGCCTTATATCCAATCTGAATTAGTTTGGTTACAACTCCCAAACATGGGCTCTTGTCATTTCTTGACTAGAATAGCAATCACTTTTCTGCCTGCTGAGTTCCTTCACTTTGTAATCATTTCCCCTCACAACATTTTTGATAACCCATGCGTTCAGAAACCTTAGGTTTTTCACTGTAAAACACTTTTCCTGGCATACTTTTGTGTTGCAATTCTCTGCATTCAATCCAAGTTATTTTTAGCACTTTTTGCTTACAAAAAGTGCACCAGAACCATATGAAAAATTCCTAGTATTGATCTCCTTAGTTTTGTATACAAGGTTATCCCGGAATGTGTACAGAGACAAAAGTCTGCAGTTATTAGTCATCCAAGCAACTTTCACACAAGGAAGTCATCTCACTGGAGCCAGCAAGTTTCATACCTAAATATTACTCCTGTAAGTAAAGATTGTGGGAGGGACTGCTTTTTGAGAACTCCTTCTAGGACATCATTCATTCCTAGGAAACGGAATATTTACTGAAAAGAAAAATCCCAAGTTCTTACTTTGGAGGTGCAAGAGTCTCTTCCAAGAATTCCTCAATCTTGTTAACGTCTGTCTTGACTTCTCCATTAAAAGTCAAGAACGGTGGGTGGGTCCCAGGAGCCAGATTGTGTAGATCAGCTGGCTTTCTGCAGAGAAAAAAAAAGTCATGAAATCACTAATCTTTATAATCATGTAGTCACACAGATATTTATAGTTTTACAAAAATCCATTGTTTGTCCTTCTCTTTCTTCAGTCGTCTGTGGTCAGAATAGTTTGAAAAAAACACGAGAATCCTATTTAATATCAAAACATTCCACAAGTGAAAAAAAAAATCCAAACCCTAAACCTGAATCCTGAATATTTTCTTGTGCACCACAGACTTTCTGAGCCAGATACAAAGCTCACTGAACTCGGTGGGAGCTTTCTACAGGACAAACACCAGATCATATAACTATTTTCAAGTAAAATGAACAATTTATACCTTTTCAGGTCAACAGTGGTGACATTGAACACAACTCCTTTGAGCCAGAGGATCATGAAGAGCCGCTGGGAAAATGGACAATTCCCAATGCTTTCTCCATCTATTCCAGCCTGAAGGACAGAAAGAGAGAGAAAAAAAGCAGAGTAGACATAAGCTGGTTACTTGTATCTCAAGAATGAAAAGTGGATGTTGAAATAAAAATGCCTAGTTCAAAAATAACCTACAGAACCTATTATTTGATATAGTTTATCATCAACAAAAGAATGGAATTACTCCAGGACTTAGCTCTCATCATCAGTTTATTAAGAAAAAAACAAAGTACCTCCCATAAGGCCAGTTCTGGCTAAAGAAAATGTCTTTCTAGCTTATTTTTAACTACATTCAGGAGCTTTCAATGTATATGCGTTCAATATCTCTCATCCCTGGAAAACTGCTTGCTTAATGGATATGGTAGAAAACAGGCTTTCTGCTCCATTTGGATCTATAAACTACAACTTTTAACAGTTCTGTTGATATCCCTTTCTCTGTTCTACTGAGACAAGTGCAAAATGAGGACATTCAAAACTAAATGTAAATCCAAGCCATCCTAATATTCAACTGTATTTGAACTAGGACTCCCTGTTCACATCCATAAAAAAAACAGCCTCACAACTGACAGATAGACAAATCCAGATGGAAATCTGAACCTAATCTCTTCCAAAGTTCAAGGTAAATTTCAGGTACAACATTCAGTCTGTTCCTATCTCTTGTACATAATGAGTTGCCTATAAACCACCACAAAACAATAAAAAAAAATGCTGGTGTTAGCATTGAGGAAACACTCTGTTTTTCTCCTGTAAAAATTTATGGTCTTTGCAAATTCTGACTTTGAGCCATGGAGGGATACAAATAACCCTGGCTAAACTGAGCCAAATCTGTGTCCAAGGACAACATCCTTGTACAATAATTATGCTTGTGGCAAAAGCTTTCAAGATGATAATGGTTTTGATAGATTTTCATTTTAATTTGTGGTACTATTGTTTTCAGAAGATTCTTACAGTCCTGGTGAAGCAACCAACCTTCTTTTGTTGACCCATACGGGTTGCATAATTTTATTTTATGCACATAGCGCTTGTCTAAAAATGGCTGATAAAAGAACAAGCAAATAAATGTTATTTTCTTTTGGAGAAAAATATTTTGTTGCTCTGCTATCATAAATTTTGTCTTCTTGATATTGAAGCTGTGAGGTAGCATTTCTAAGTCCTAAAGAAGAAATAACTTCTAACCATTGGAGCTCTGTGAAACATTCACAGCACAACTAGAAACATTTTGAGATGTGTCTTGTGCTGCAAACTCAGGCCTTTCATATAAAATGTTTAGCAAAAACATTTCAGAGATATCCCACTGTAAAGTTTAGGCCTACATAAGGAATCACAGAATCACAGAATGGTTGAGGTTGGAAGGGTCCTCTAGAGATCATCTAGTCCAACCCCCCTGCTCCAGCAGGGTCACCTAGAGCACGTGGCACAGGGCGGCATCCAGGCAGGTTTGGAAGATCTCCAGAGAAGGAGACTCCACAACCTCTCTGGGCAGCCTGTTCCTCTGCCACCCTCACAGAAAGAAGTTCTTCCTCACATGGATGTGGAACTTCCTGTGTTTCAACTTGTACCCATGACCCCTGTCCCATCACCGGCCACCACTGAGAAGAGTTTGGCCCCATCCTCCCTACATTCTCAGGTACTTGTACATGTTGATCGGATCTCCTCTCAGTCTTCTCCAGGCTGAACAGGCCCAGCTCACTTAGTCTTTCCTCATTAGGTAGATGCTCCAGTCCCTTAATCGTCTTTGTTGCTCTAAATGAGCTTTTCTCTAGATTCAGATTTATATTCAAATAGTCTCCAGAGACATTTGGATCTGAGGGTACAGTTTGCTTGCACTTCTACTTAAAATTATGTATGTGCTGTATACCTGGTTTTGTCAAGAACCCAACAAACAGTATGATTAAAGAGTGGTAAGGTACAAAAACAAGCAGGAAATGATGCCTTTTCTCAGATGCCTAGGGTGTGGGTAGGCTAGTTTTGCATTCTCATTAATTAGGTAGTTAGCTCTGTTCTGCAAATTTCATGGCAAAAAAAATGACAGTGTTTCCATGGAAAACCAGGCACCATAGTATTGCATAGAGTAACTACTGTGAAACTATATTTGTTGATTTGGCTTTGGCTTATTAAACCCGTGCCAAGACCTTTTAACTTTAGTCTTCCTAAAAATAAGCAAATGCTGGAAAAGAATATGACACCAAATTTCCCTTTGCTTTATTACCATCATAATCATAATCTTCATAGCAGAGTTGCCCGAGTTTACAAGCAGTGTACAACAAACCTAAAATTTGCAGAAAAACAGATTGACCACTGAATTGAGGGGCAGAAGAGTCAGATAGGAGGTTTCATTCTAATCTTATGTGCTCTGGTTTTACTTTGGCTTATACTTTGTTGAGTCTGAATCATGCTTCACCTGACTTGCTTCAAGGTGATTATAAAACATTAGTTCGTGAATATAAAACATTAGTTTGTGAATATAAAACATTAGTTCACTAAGTCTTGCAAGAAAGGGCTTCCGGTTGATGTTGTTTCACAATAACACACAGAGGTCTCAGAGACTAAGAAATGTAGAATTCACTGGGGACAGAAGAAAAATGTGGTGCCTAAAAGAAATAAGAATCATTTGGAAATCAAAAATAGAATTGTTAGAACAGATGAGCCCTTCAGCAGCACTACAGGTTCAAAGCTGCCCTTCCTTGCCTTTCAAACGAGGTGGAAAACATTGATTGCTAGGCACACATTGGGAATGCATGAGGGAATGAAAGGAAATTCCAGAAATGAAAGATAAACTAAAGAAAAAAATATGATATGGTCCCTTTTGAAAGCTCATGGATCTGGGAGCCAAGCTCATGATTTGGGTGGAGTCTGACTTCAAGGGTTTTGATCTCATTGACTGGCATAGCTGAAAACGCCACCACAAATCACACAGCAAACTGGTGACAGGGAGGGGAACAGAATCCAAAATCTCCCTGGCAACACAATTTATCCATTAAACTCAGCTCTTTCTGCAAAAATCATAGGCCAGGATCTGTTGGGGTTTGTGAGTCCTTTCTCATTTGTTGATAACAGCAGTCAGTAATTCAATGCCCAGCACTCAGAAAAAGCCAACCCTTAGTAGGTAATAACTTCAAAGGCTTATCAAAGTATCATGAGACCATTTGTAAAGTCTATTTTTAAATACCAGGAGGAGATGAGGAAGAACAGAGAACTTCCCAGGCTTAGTCACTTTTTCCTTCAAAGAAAAACAGCTTGCTTAAAGCACTCTGGGAGTGATTAAATAAAAGCCTATATGTATCTGTCCACGGTAAAAGGCTTAAAAATGGAGGAATTAAATAATACCTTCATCAAAATTATGAACTCAAAACGTGGACAGAAAAATAAAGGACAAATAACCGACAAACTGGAGAAACACTACCCATGCCTGCTACTGTTCACAGATGAACATGTTTCCTCATGCTGAAGCCCAGCACCACTGACAAGAAAAGACCAAACTGATGACATACACATTGTCCCTGGCAGTAGTGATGGGTATTTCTGTTTTAATGATTGCAACTGGGGGTAGATATGGGCACTCGGGGGCAGTAGGTTCAAAGAAGCAGAAATTTATAATGTGCACAGTAACTCACAATGGGCTACAGAGCCTCCTTCTCCCTGCAGAGAGCAATCATTATTGCTCCTTATGGAAAAAAACTCACCAGGGAAGAACAACTCATATACTGACTGCAGAAATGCAAAATAGATTCAAGGATTTGCTGGGGGCTGAATGCTCTTTGGCCAGCGTTCAGCCCACGTAACTCTAGGAATTCAACCGAGGAGTCTGGTCATCTGAGGTCCCTGTGCAACTCAAGGAAGGGAATCACTTTCAAAAGACATTTCACTTAGATTGAATATGATGACTGTTTGATTTTAGGGAGGTGAATGAATCTGAACCCTCAAAACAGAAAAGTGTTTCAAGTTTGTGGACACAGAATTTCTGGAAAATTATGTTGCTCCTTTGTGGAAACATCACCTTCCACTCCCTTTGCTTCACATGACCTTACACTTAATTAATTTAGCTACTAAAAAAAGATACCTAATGTATTTCTACTTAGCCTTTAGACATCCCAAATGACACAAGGTCTTGCCCTGGACCTTGGTTTAAATATATTAGGAAAACTCCATCATCGTACCAGCTGCTTGTGTCTCATAAAGTAATGAAAAAAATGAATAAGATGTTTTCCCTCATAATTTTAAGACACTCCTCCTTGAACACGTTAGCTATTTTTAATGAATTAATAAAGCTTTAAAGATATTTGTGTGCACAAGAGGGGAATGCACTGACACATTATCAAGGACAAAAAAAAAAACTAAGGTGGTTTCAGAAAAAAAAAAATGTTTTGATGATTTTACGAGCTTGAGCCAAATATTTTTAGCAAAGCAGCTGTAATATCAAGATATCCTGTTCAGCACAGCTGAACAATGTGAACAGGGAACACTTCCTAGGTTTAAACTACTACTTTTCTATAAGAGAAATAACTGAAATAAACTTCCTCACTTGTTCTGAAAATACAGCTGGTAAATGCACAGTGACTGCAATGTATAAAGTCAACTGTATAAAGGAGGGGGAAAGGAGAGAAACAATCTTTATCTCCTGTTATTCCCAAATACAGCAGTTTTCAAGAAAAATACTCTCGTTAATATGATCACAAAAATGACTAAGCATCTAGCTAGAGCATTGCAGTGTTGGAAAGAACTGCGTATTGGAAAGTGCTGTTCTCTTTTTTTCTAAAGGATCAGGATGTATTTATCTATTAGGCTTCTCTTTTCATTTTTCACTGCATTGAGAACATTCTGCACAACAGTCCAATGTTTTCTTTGGTCCTTCTATGTAAAGTATGCAGATATTTTCAATGACACAAACATTTTTTATTTTTCAATGGGATTTTAACAAGTTAGCAAAAGCAGGCAGGCTAATTCATCTTAATGTTCAATCTAATCCCACTAAGGGATTAAGGAGAGATTTGATTTCACCATTCCTACAGTCAAAATCTAGATTCACGTTACACATGGTTTTGGTCTGTTTTGTAATTGGGAAAGAACCTGCCTTTTGACACTTACTCTCCTTACGCTCAGAACCCAAAGGGGAAGTGAAAACCCTATTCAAAATGTAGAGCAGGCCAGGAAATATCCTATTTATTGTGCTATAAAAAAAAAGAAATCTGTCTTTGTAATTATACCACACACACAATAGCACAAATGTAGGGAAAAAATCATTGGCTGCAACATGAGATCTGACATGCCAAGGTATTGCTTTAGTAAGGATTTTTTTTTCCAATTTCTAGTCTATTTTCTTTCACAACTTTTTGTCCAAATGTAAAAGCCAGTAAGTTATTTGGTGTGCCACCAACAGAGAGGCAAGTTAAGAAGCATATATTCATAAAGCAGCACGGGTAGGTCTCAAGTAAGAAGTAAATCTTGCAGCACAAGCCCTGTGTATCACAGAACATTCTTGTTGACTGTGGCTCCGGTTCAGGAAAGCATTTAAGCATGTGCTGAAATATATCCCAATTCAGAGGAAGTATATGCTTGACTTTAAGCATGTTCTTAAGTTCTGATGATTTCAATGGGACTTAAGCACACACTTAAGTACTTTCCTGAATGGGGGCCTATAACAACAATAATAAATTTACTGCATAGCAATTTAACTTCATTGGACTTTTTCTGGGATTTCATTTTGCTAGGAGAAATTCTTAGCAGCAGTCTTCCAAGGCTGGACAAGATAAAGTCAAAATATATTCATAAGCACGCACACACATGGGAATGGACCATGTGCATATATGTCAAATAAAAATAGAATATTTGCTAGAAATAAAGTCAGGGTAGTAACAAAACAAAAAGGAAGTGGTGAAATTCTTTAGCCAGCTCCACAAAAGCCAGCCAAAATGTTGAAGTTTGGCATACATACAGCCATATATTATAGATACACATAAGTTTAACTTGGTCTACGTTGCAGGCAATTTGAGGAAAGCTGGCCTGTTGCACTGTGCAGCATGTCAGTAGAGTTGAGGA